CTGACAGTCTCACTCCACTGGTATTCTGGAGAACAATAAATCATTGAGGAGATTTCTGCCTCCTGGGTGATCTTTGTTTTCCTGTGTGTGTGAGTGCCCACAGGACTCATTCACTCATTCAAAAAACATCTATGGAGGGACCAGCAGACGGCATAATGGTTACATTGCTGGACTCCCATGTAGTTGACTGTGGTTCGAGTCCCAGACAGGCATCTTGAAACTCATGCTGGGCATGTGTACATATATGCCTAAAATCCTGAGAGGAGAATGGAAGAGGCATGACTGCGGCGTGACCGGCCCCCTGGGGGGGTGATTTCTCACTTTCTGTCTCTCTGCCTCTCTGTCTCTGGTGAGCGCATGCCCCCATAGGAAAAATCTTTTAAAATAAAACAAACAAAAACAAAACAAAGGACCAGCAGTTAGTGTAATGGCTATGTCGCTGGACTCCCACGTAGTCGACCGCAGTTTGAGTCCTGGACCCGGTGGCATAAACTCATGCCGGCATGTGTGCGTGCGTGCCCAAGATCCTGAGAGGAGAATGGAGGAGAAGGGATTGTGGCGTAGCCATCCCCCCTAGGCGGTGATGGGGTGATTTCTCACTTTTTGTCTCTCTGTCTCTCTCTGGCTGTCTGACAAGCGCATGCGCCCTATAGCAAAAAAATAAAAATAAAAATAAAAAAAGAAAAAGTGGGTCCTACTTAAGATCGGGGTAAGCTAAACATTGGCCATTTAAAAGAAGGGAGGCCCAGCAGATGGCACAGCAAGTGCAAAGGCTCCGAGGAGTTTAGCAATGTGTTAGGAAATGAGTCTGGAGAGAGGGCAGTGGACAGACAGCAACATCTTGTAAGCCACAGGAAAGAATTTGGATTTTTTTTGGGGGGGAGAGGAGAAGTTTTTGCTATAGGGCACTCGCCAGAAAGACAGAAAGAGACAGAGAGACAGAAAGTGAGAAATCATCCCCCAGGGAGGATAGCCACGCCGCAATCTCTTCTCCTCCAGTCTCTTCTTGGGATTTTGGGCATACACGTACATGTGCCCAGTGTGAGTTTGAAGCCACCAGTTCTGGGACTTGAACCGTGGTCAAGTACATGGGAGTCCTGTTATGTAACCATCATGCCATCTGCTGGTTTTTTTTTTTTTTTAAAGAGAGATTTTTGTTATAGGGCACATGCACTTGCCAGAGAGACAGAGAGACAAAGAGACAGAAAGCAAGAAATCACCCACCAACAGGGATGGTTATGCCACAATTCCTTTTCCTCCATTTTCCTCTCAAGATTTTGGGCATGTATGCATATGTACCTGGCATGAATTTTAAGCTGCCGGCTCTGGGACTCAAACTATGGTCGACTACATGGGAGTCCAGCAATGTAACCATTACAACATCTGCTGTCTCAAGAGTTTGGATTTTAAGTGTGAAGGAAAGAAAAGGTATGGGAAGACTTATTTATTCATTTATTTATTTATTTAGGTTGCCGTTTTTTTTTGATATTGGGCTCTTGCACTTGCCAGAGTGTGAGAGAGGGAGTGAGAAAAAGAAAAGGACTGAGCAAGAAAGAGAAAGAGATCACCCCCAGGGGAGATGGCCACGCTGCAATTCCTTCTTCTCCATTCTCCTCTTAGGATCTTGCGCATGTACACATATACGTGGTGTGTATCCACATGTACAGGTTCCCACAGCACATGGAATATAGCCAAACCCTCACCAGGCATTCGGGCCCTGCCTTGTCTGTCCCCACCTTCCTGTCCCCCCTCCTCCTGCACCCCCATGCTCCAGCCACACTGCCTGGTACACGCCGATTTCCTTCCCACCTCAGGGCTTTTGCACTTGCTGTTCCTTTTGTTTGGAACTGTTCCCCCTAGATCTTAACATACATGATTTATATTTTCCTAAAAGCTCCTGTTTGCCAGGCAAAAGTGCAGTGATTCAGGGATACTCTTTTGGGGATTCAGGATAGTCTAGTTTAGAACTTTGAACCCTTAGCTTCTGAGAAGGAAGTGGATATTAAACCCCATGGAGGTCCCAGCTGAGGTCCCCTTCTTCTTCAAGGAGAACCCACGGACCCTCTTAAAGGTAAAACTCAGAGGTCAAGGTAAAGCTCTTAGAGTGGCCAGCAGATGGCATAGTGGTTAAGTTGCTGGACTCTCACGTGGCCAACTGCGTTTCGAGTCCCAAACCTGGAAGCTTGAAAATCATGCTGGTTACGTGTGAGTGCATGCCCAAAATCCCAGAAGGAGAAGGGAGGAGGGTTTGTGGCATGGGCATCCTTCCTGGGGGTGGTGGTGCAGGGTGATTTCTCACTTTCCCTCTCACTGTCTCTGTCTCACTCTGGTGTGTGCACACATCCTGTGGTAAAACCTTAAAAAAGACAAAAAGGGTTAGCTTAAAACTCACATCACGGGGACCAGCAGTTAGTGTAATGGCTATGTCACTGGACTCCCATGTAGTCGACTGCGGTTCAAGTCCCGGACCCGATGGCTTAAACTCATGCCGGGCGTATGTGCATGTGTGCCCAAGATCCCGAGAGGAGAATGGAGGAGAAGGGATTGCAGCATGGTCATTCCCCCTGGGGGGGTGATTTCTCGCTTTCTGTGTCTGTCTGGCGAGTGCACGCACCCTATAGCAAAAACCTCCCAGAAAACAAACAAAAAACAAAACAAAACAAAACAACAACAACAAAATTTCATACGCAGTAAGTCTAGGGTGGGGCCCAAGAATTTGCATTTCTAACAGCTTCCCAGGCGATGGTGACACTGCTGGTCTGGGGACCACATTTTGAAGACACTGTTCTTTCCCCAGCCATCCCAGTTCTTGGCTGTCTCTCTCAAGACTGGTCACTCCCCAGGCCGTTGGCACTGCCTTATCAAGGCCATTCTGCATCTTTCCCTCCTCCAGTTTTGTGGGCTGGACCTGGAAGGCGGTAGCTCTTAGCTATGGATCTGTTCCCATCCCCAGTGGTCTCCCAGAACAGACGTCATGAAGGTTGCTCTTCCTCCCATCTGTAAGAGCAGGAGCGCTAACAAGAACGGGGATTATCATGAGTTTTCAATATGGACCACTTGGCCCAAGAGATCTAAGACTCATGAATGCTTTCAAATGACATATTTTCACCTTTTTCTGATGGCCTGCCAAAGCCAAAGGAAATATTTAGCCAGAGAACTTTCTAGCCAGGGGACCATCATATGGCGTCATGGCTACGTTGCTGGACTCCCATGTAGTCAACTGCGGTTCGAATCCCAGACCCGGTGGCTTAAACTCATGCTGGGTGCATGTGCTTACATGCCCAAGATTCTGAGGGGAGAATGGAGGAGAAGGGATTGCGGCGTGGCCATCCCCCCTGGGGGTGATTTCTCGCTTTCTGTCTCTCTGTCTCTCTCTGTCTTTCTGGCAAGCACACATGCTTTATAGCAAAAACCTCTCAAACAAACAAACAAACAAACAAAAAACAACCAACCAACCAAACAAAAACCTCCTAGCAGGGAGAAGTAGATGACATAATGGTTATGTCGCTGGACTCTCACATAGTTGACCCCAGTTTGAGTCCCAGGCCTGGCAGCTTAAAACTCACACTGTGTGTGTGTGTGTGTGTGTGTGTATGCATGCCCAAAATCCCAAGAGGAGAATGGAAGAAAAAGGATTATGGCATGGCTACCCCCCCCAGGGGGTCATTTCTCCATTTCTGTCTTTCCATCTCAATGTTTCCAGCAAGTGCATGCACCCTGTAACAAAAATCTCTCTCAGAAAACAAAACGAAAACACAAACACAAAAACAAAAGATCCCTCCTATCCAGGTAATCACCAGCAGACAGACCTTTCACCATTCCCTCTGCTCTTCTGGGGGATGAGGGCAGACACTTCTCTCACTTGTTCTGGATCCCCTCCAGCATCACACATGGGCAATACAAAGGACATGTTGAAAAGGGTTGGAATGGAAAGAAAAAAAAAAAAAAACATTCTAAGGGGGACTTGCTGGCTGGAAGGGTGTGTGTGTGTGAATATGTGCAGAGGTATGTGCTGTTTATGGACCTGGAGCTTTTACTGAGTCCCGCTACAGAGCCCCTATTACTGACTCTATTTTCACAAACCTCTTTCCCACCTCAAGGCCTTTGCCTTTGATGCTTCCCCTGGGTGGGTGGAACTCCTCCTCTTGAGTGGCTGGTGTCTCTTTGACTTCAAGTCTCAGCTCAGAAGTTTCTTTTCAGAGAGGCCTTTCCTGTCCACCCAGCCCCATCCCTCAGCTCCTATGGCCATCCAGAGAGGGCCTCTCATTCCTTGTCTTCATTATTCCCCTCATAGTTCTTGGTTCTCAGTGAACTAATTTTGTTTATTTATTTGGGTGTTTTCCCTCTTTCTCTCCCACGGGCTGTGAAGTCCAGAAGAGCTATGGTCTTTTCTGCCTGAGTTGCCACACGGCCCCCAGGGTGCAGCCTGGGTGAAATATTCAGCAGGCTCCTAATCAGGAATAACAATAAAGCTGCCCAGCACACTCATTCGGACCTGGAAGTGAGACTCACACTCTATACAGTGAGCCAAACAAACATTCAAACTGGGAGCGACGGCAGCAAAAACGGCGAGTAAGTGTAACCCGGTCCCCTTATTCACGGAATCAACTCAGAGGGTGGAAAGAAAGGGTGTGACTGGGTAACACCCCTTACATTCACTGAACCAATCAAAAGCTGGATTTGAACAAGGAGCCACGCCTATAAGGCAGTAGCCAATCATAATAAAGGGGCGTCCTCTAAAGAAGCCACACCCCTTGACTCAAATCGCCAGGGTTCCCACAGGGACTGAGGGGGTAAGGTGAGTCCTAGCACACCGACTAGGTGTGTGGTGGGTTATCAGAAGAGTGTGTGTGTGTGGTTTCAGTGTGTGTTGGGGGCAGGTGGGGAGAATTTAGAGAAGCAGTTACAAGGAGATAAGGAGTGAGTTATGGGGACAGGAATAGAGGAGTTATGAAGACTAAAGGGGAGCTGATGGGTGTCATAGGGCCAGTGAGGCTACTATACCAGGCCATGGAGATGGGGTGGGTTTGGGCTTGGGGTGCTGCCTTCTAACTTGGGTAGTGTCCATTTCCAGTGCCTTTCCGGTCAGAGGGGTTGGTTCAGTTGATCTCCATTTCTCAGGAACTCAGATGTCCTCTCTCTGTACCCCACTACCCCTGACTACAGATTTTGTTTTTTGAGAGGTTTTTGCTATAGGGCACGTGCGCTCGCCAAACAGAGACAGAGAGACAGAAAGCAAGAAATCACCCCCCAGGGGGGATGGTCACGCCACAATCCCTTCTCCTCCATTCTCCTCTCGGGATCTTGGGCATGCATACACATGTGCCTGGCGTGAGTTTTAAACCACCGGGTCTGGGACTTGAACCGTGGTCGACTACATAGGAGTTCAGCGACATAGCCATTACGTTAACTGCTGACTATAGATTCTACATGCTCAGCATCTTCTCAGGCGAGGCCTATGACTTCTGTGATTGACACCAGGAACCCGAAGTCCCAGGCCACCCCACAGCACAACCAGATGCAGCCGCCCAGCCCAGTGACGTCCCCTGTCTTGGAGAAGCAGCCACCCAAACAGATTTGCCCGGTTATCGTGATGCCTCTGCATCCTCCACAGAGGGATTTCTTTTTCCTCTCCATCTTCTCCTTCCTCTTCTTCATCCCACTGGCAATTGCAGCCGTGTTGTTCTCTCTCAAGGTGGGCACCACCAGGTACAACCAACTCCCTTTCCCCCCAAATTTGGCCTCCTCGTTCTCATCCCATCTCTCTGCCCCTCTCCAGGGACCGCTTCGTGTTTCGCATTTGCCCCTCCCTCTTCACCTGGGGGCTGCCCCTGCTTTTCTCCAGGAGCCCCATCCCTGCTTCTCCTGTGTTCTACCCAGACCCACTCTTTCACCCTGCCTCCCTGGGAGACCCACATCTGCCCTTACCTCCTTCACATCACCATTCCCGATCTTGTGCCTCCTGTCCCTCCCCAGGAAAGCCCCTTCCACACGTCCCTCCCCCTTGGAAACACCCCCAACAGCTTGCCTTCACCCCACAGACCCGAGATGCCAACATTTTGGGGGACCATAGAAAAGCAGAGAGGAGTTCCAGAATGGCCTTGGGCTTCGCCATCTCCAGCATCGTGTTGGGCTCCATCATTATCATTTGCTACGTCACAATCCAAGTCTGGACACATAAAGGATGAGACTGTACTGACAGCCTTCCTACCTCCGTGGGTAACAGACTCCCCGAGTCCTCCCGAAGCCTCTGAGCTTGGACTTCAGTAACTGCCTGTGTTGGACAAAGTCCCCCCACCCCCACCAGCATTTTTTAGGAGCAATAAAGTTTATGAGGAGGTTTCTGCTTTCTGATTCATCTGCGGCATGTACATATGTTTGTGTGCGCATGTGTATATATCTATGTGCACACATGTCCACCTGTCTGCTGCATGCACATATTTGTGTGCACATATGCTCATGCCTGCTGTATGTACGTATTTGCACGCACACATGTTCATATGTCTGCTGTATGTATTTGCATGCATATTTTCACATGTGTTCTGTATGTGTTTGTGTGCACACATGTTCACATGTCTGCTGTGTGTATGTGTATGCACATGTTCACATGTCTCTGCTGGGCACCATGGGACTTATTTATTTATTTATTCATGGAGAGATTTTTGCTATAGGGCACATGCACTTGCCAGAAAGACAGCGACAGAGAGACAGAAAGTGAGAAATACCCCCCTCCCCCCGGGAGGGGGGGATGGCCACATGGTGATCCCTTCTCCTCCATTCTTCTCTCAGGATCCTGCGCATGCACGCACATGTGCCCGGCGTGAGTTTAAGCCATCGGGTCTGGGACTTGAACTGCGGTCAACTACATGGGACTTCAGCGACATAGCCATTACACTAACTGCTGGTCCCCATTTTTTTAAAAAGAGATTTTTGCTATAGGGTGTGTGTGCTCATGGAAGAGATAGAAAGTGAGAAATCAGTGTCCCCATTGCCTGAGCCATGGTAGGAGCTGGAGGGGCCTGTGTCCCACACTGGTGCCCCCGCCCCATAATTTTTTTAAAAAATGGTGTATTTGTTTCATTTTGTTATTATTTATTTTAAAATTTGACCAGAGAGAGAGAAAAGGAAAAAATGAGAAAGCAAGCCGCCAGAGGTTGACTATGTAGCAATTCCTTCTCCATTCTTCTCTTGGGATTTTGGGCACGCATGCACACCAGCTCGGCCTGAGTTTCAAACCTTCAGATTGACTCAAACCATGGTCTACCATAAGGAAGTCCGGCGCCTAAACCAGTATGCCACCTTGCTGGCCCCATCGCATATAACTTTTCTTTTTTACCCCCTTTCCTCTCTGGTTTATTTTAACCTGTCCACTCAATACTGTTATTTGCTAGGACCTAACCCATAGCCGGACCGCGGGTTCGCAGTCTCCACTCTGGGGACCGAATTAAGGCTCGTCTGAGAACCCTGGCGCCCAGCGCCCGCGCACGCGCCCGCTAGAAAAAGTCACGAATGGCCTGGGTGGCCGGCGTGCGGCCGGCGGGGCACTCGGGCTCGCTCTTGTCGCAGATGCGGGAGAAGAGATTGTGCCGGCACGGCGTCAGCACCGCCACCACCTCGCCCTCCGCGCACACCTCGCACTCGCGCGCCAGGGCCGGGGCGGGGGCGCAGCGTCCCCCGGGGCAGAGGACGCGGCGCCGGCCTTTGCGGGCGCAGTCGGGGGCGCTGGAGTCCAGAGCGGAGCAGGTGGCGGCCGCGGTGCTCCTGGGAAGCGAGGTGGCCGCGGAGAAGGACGACAGGGAACCCTGCGGGGGCCGCCAGCACAGAGCCGCCCCAGCGGCACGCGGGGGTTCCGCGTCCAGGCCGGTGGGTTCGGGCAGCGTGGGCGAGTGGCGACCCGCTGCTGTGCCGGGCACCTCCCGAAGGCGAAGGCGGCGCCTTGGCCGGGTTAACCGCCAAGCAGCCGGTGTAGGTGGGCAAGGCCCAGGCGGTGGCCGCCGCGGGCACCCAGGAAGTCGAAGCCAAGTCGCAGTCATGAGGTGCAGCTGTGACCGCAGGGGCATCAGGGTGGTCACCGCCAAACCTGAAGCTTCCCATTGCCTGAGCCGCGGTAGGAGCTGGTGGGGCCTGTGTCCTGCACTGGTGCCCCCGGCCATTAAAATAAAATAAATGTATTTATTTAATTTTGTTATTATTTATTTTAAAATTTGACCAGAGAGAGAGAAAAGGAAAAAGTGAGAAAGCAAGCTGCCAGGTCCAGGATTTGAACAGTGGTGGGCCATGTGGGAGTCCAGCACCATAACCACCACACCACCTGCCAGCTCCTCCCATGTACTTTTTTTTTTTTTTTTTTTGAGAGTTTCTTGTTTTTTTTTTTTTTTTTTTGAGAGATTTTTGCTATAGGGCACATGCACTTGCTGGCCATGCAGCAATCTCTTCTCCATTCTCTTCTTGGGATCTTGGGGACCGTGCGGTGTGAGTTTTAAGCTGCCTTCCGAAACTTGGGACTTGGGACTGGAACCATGGTCAACTACGTGGGAGTCCAGCCATGTAACCATTATGCCATCTGCTGGTTCCCCTCCTATGTCATTTTTGATGTAATGTCAACCTAGAATTGTTGGTTAGCATGATTCTTTTTTTTTTGGAGAGGTTTTCGCTATAGGGCGCGTGCGCTTGCCAGACAGACAGAGAGACAGAGAGACCGAAAGCGAGAAATCACCCCCTGGGGGGGATGGCCACGCCGCAATCCCTTCTCCTCCATTCTCCTCTCGGGATCTTGGGCACGCACGCACACGCGACTGGCATGAGTTTTAAGCCACCAGGTCTGGGACGTAAACTGTGGTCGACTACGTGGGAGTCCAGCGACATAGCCATTACGCTAACTGCTGGTTCCCAAGGTAGCATGATTCTTGATGCTACCCCTACTCATCTTCCAGTTCCACTCTCCCAGGGACTGAGGAGGTGGCCGACCAAGATGTGAAGGGCATCACTGGGCCTGTCTGTCATCTCGGGAAAACAGACACAAACATGCACACGCAGATACAGATAGGTACACGTCTCATGTGGCTTGTTCCCTGGGGTCTTCTTGGTGTCAGATACGCCCCTCTCTGAACCCAGATCTCTCCAAGGGACCCAGAGACCCAGGCGCTGCTACATCCTTTCTCAGCATGGAACTGCCAGGCCATTCCCCAGTCAACGCAGGACTCTTCCTCCTTCCACTCTCCATTTTGCTCAAGGCAGCCAAGACTGTCCCTGGCCTCAGTGCTCCAATGGGTTCCCACAACTATTGGTTATCAAATCCAGTCTCTTCACCTCCCAAAGACCTTACCTCTTAAAACTATTCCTTGTGGGACCAGCAGATAGCGTAGAGGTTGTGTCACTGGACTCCCACATAGTCAACTGCAATTTGAGTCCTGGACCCAGCAGCTTAAAACTCACACTGGGTGTGTGTTGCGGGTATTGCCCAAAATCCTGAGAGGAGAATGGAGAAGGGATTGGGGCATGGCCATCCACCCTGGGTGGTGATTTCTCACTTTCTGTCTCTGTCTCTCGGGTGAGCGCACATACCCTATAGAAAAAATCTCTCGAAAAACAAACAGGTCTCTTTCGGAAAAACAAACAAAACAAAACAAAACTCACAAACAGGAGCTGGCAGGTGGTATGGCGCTGGACACTCCCACATGGCTGACCACAGTTTGAGACCTAGATCTGGCGGCTTGCTTTCTCACTTTCCCTCCCTCTCTCTCTCTATCTCTCTTTCACTCACTCACTCACTTGATTCTTCTCTGATCAAATATAAATAGATAAATAAACAAAGTAAAATAAAATAATTCTTAATAAAAAACACACAAACAAAAACTATCACCTTGACATTAAATTTCAACATGAATTTTGGAGGGATGCATACACTCAAACTATAGACGTATGGAATCGCTTATAATACATGGACCTAGGGACCAGCAGTTAGTGTAATGGCTATGTTGCTGGACTCCCATGTAGTTGACCGCGGTTTGAGTCCTGGATCCAGTGGCTTAAACTCACACCAGGCACGTGTGTGTGCATGCCCAAGATCCCTAGAGGAGAATGGAGGAGAAGGGATTGTCGCGTGGCCATCCCTCCTGGGGGGTGATTTCTTGCTTTCTGTCTCTCTGTCTCTCTCTGTGTCTGTCTGGCGAGCGCACGCGCCCTATAGCGGAAACCTCTCAAAAAAAAAAAAAAATACATGGCCCTGTGAGCTGCTTCTGTAAGAATCTTGGGCATCACTCACTCATTCGTTTATTCGATGGCCATTTCATACTTCCTGTGTGCTAGGCATTGGTTGAGGACCTAAGGATTCAGTTCTGATCAGCGCAGATAAGACCATGGACTCACAAAACATGTTATTGCAAGAGGAGCCAGAGATAAATAAGAACATGCAAATTAATGAGGTTATTTCAGACCATCCGAAGCAGAATAAAGAAAAGAGAGGTTGGGAGGTAGGAGAAACATACAATAATGTGTTCAAGAACAATCTTTTCTTAGGAAGTGTCATTTGTGTGGTTACCTGAGGCATTAGAAGGAGAAAGGCAGGGGCTGGCAGGTGGTGTGGTGGTTAAGATGCTGGACTCCCACATGGCTGACCACAGTTCAAGTCTCAGACCTGGTGCATTGTTCTCTCACTTTTTCTCTCTCTCATCAAATTAAAAAAATGGTAGTAACAAATAAAATTAAATAAATAAATATTTTAAAAAAAAAAAAGAAAGGAGGAGAAAGGCATAGAACTTTTTGCAAGAAGAGAATTCCAGGCAAATGAATAGCAAGTGCAATGGTCCTGAGGTTAAGAAAGAGCAGAAGGAAGAAGCCCAGCATACCTGGAGGGTAGTCAGGACAGGATAGGAACAGGAAATGGCTCGCCCTCTGAAGTCATGGTATTTGCACTCATGAAAAAGAGCGTGGATTTTAAGTGCAAAGAGAAGCCATTGGCTGTATGAAGCTGAGGAAGCACAACATTTGATTATTATCTTAAAAGATTGAAATGCCATACCTGTAGGAGATAGCAGGTCATGGCAGACCATACTCCTTTCATAGCATTATAGATAAAAGGATAAACTAAAATTTCTTATTTATTTTAAAAAAATAATTATGTAATTTAATTAAATTTATCATCATTATTTTCTAAAATTTTACCAGAGAGAGAGAGTAAGAGAGAGAGAGGAAAGTGAGAAAGCAAGCTGCCAGGTCCAAGACTAGAACCGCAGTTGGCCATGTGGGAGTTCGACACCTTAACCACTGTGCCACCTGCTGGCTTTGGACCCTTCCTTTTTTTTTTTTTTGGAGAGATTTTTCCTATAGGGTGCGTGCACT